TATCAATAGATGAAAAGATATATATATAAAATTACAATTTAAAAATAGATTTAACGCTTATAAAATTTAAAATTTTTATCGATATAAAATACTATCATCTGTCTTTGTCAATAACATTTGTAATTTGTTAAAAGTTGGGGTATGTTTCCCCAACTTTGAACTGAGTATAAGCCTTAAAAGTAGCTTCATATAGGACTTACGAGTATGTATACACATAAATCAACTTCCAACTAAAAAATAAAATTAAATTTTTATCTTCTACATATATATATTACATATCTGATAAGTAAGAAAATGAAAAAAATTTTATTAATAAATTGACTCGAAAATTATAACTGATATATAATAAAATATTAAATTAAATTATTTATACGATATTTATTTTCACGTAAAAAAAGTTTACCAACAATTTTTTTATATACATCAAGCTTATTTTCTTATGAATAAATAAAAATATTGTCTTTTCCCATCCATCAAAAATGGATATAGGAAGAAGACAGTAACATTTGATAAGAGATGGCAAACTGTCCACATAAGATTGAAAATCCATCACATAATAATAGTACATAGAAAATCTGAACACTCACATGTCACTTCTAGGTAGATTCTGCGGCTGATGGCGGGTGGCACCCCATTGGAAGCAACACACAGATAGGCTCCCATATGAAACCTCGACACACGGATAATGTTGAGTTCCTCCCCGCTGTGTAGTGTTACTAAAATAAAAAAAAACATATACATACATATATATATATATAGAAAAGAAAGTTACAAAAAAAGTATCAAAATACTACCCTATAAAGTAGAATTCTACGACCTTTGGGATAGTCAGCGTGTCAAAGGTATAGCGAAGAAAAGTAGTATTGGAGGTCAGTGTGAAACAATAATAGGCTTGTAAATCAATGTTTACTCGCCCCTTATGGAAAATTTGCAATCGAGTTCAGTCTAGATATCTGTTTCCAAATCCGAGCCATTACCCAAAGACGGACATATCCACGTTCAATAGGGTCATAACAGTATTCTGGTGAACAATAATGGTTTCAATCAGATTTTTTTTTTAAGTATCTTCTCCTTATGTAAACAAAAACTGGAAAAAATTGAATCACAAGAATTTCCGGGCAGCTGAGGATTTACAAATAACTTCCCTTTGTAAATTGTACGTCGGGCAAGAATCTCATTATGCTTATTCCCTTTCAGACAATGACGCTTGTTTGAAATTACATTGCTACCTGCTGATTTGTTTGCAATTCTCGATATTCTATTTAAGAATGGCGCGAACGAGACTTTTTTTTCCCACTTTTTTTGATTAACTTTGTCAATAAATAAATAACACAGCTCAGAAAATAGAAAACTTTTTTGCAAAATATAAACCCGAAACTCCTCTATTTAATAATAATTAATTAAAAAAATAAATAAAAAAACTGAAACTTGTTAACCTTTATATTTTTGGGTTACAATTTGAAAAAAATTGTAGACATAAATTCCTACTGTCGTCCGTCTGTCTGTCTGTCTTCCTTAATCTCGAGAACAGTGTTAGATAGATGAAAGTCCAGATCAGATATGGAAAGATTAGGAACAGAATGCCTCAATTAACTATAACAAAATTCCGATTTAGAACGAACGTCAAGTGATTTCAATTCAAAAATTTCCCCTTTAACCGATTTAATAGATAACCTGTATAATTCTATTGTTATCAGGAAAAACACGATGTACAGTACAGGGGCAAGACTACTAAATTTAAATCGAGAGCATATATTTTAAATTAAATAAATTAAAAATATGATTAAAAATTGAAGCCCGGCATCTTTATAATAATTTTCGCTCGTATTTTCTTTTCTTATTTATTTATTAATTTTTTTTAAAATAAATCATTGTATCTGTGCAAAACTTCCGTTTAAAACTAAACGATTTTCCGAAAGTTTCATTTCGTGTGTGTAATAATGTTGACAGAGCACTAGTAAACTCTCCCTTCACTTCGGCTTTATCTATACAATATGTCATTATTGCAGAGAATTATATCCCCAGGAGTTATACTATCCTCACCTCAATAAGGGATATTGTAATAACCCGCTTATCAGATTTGTAAGAATAATATTGCAATAACAGTAGATTCTTCTGATACCATGGATTAAAAAATATTTACAAAAAGTATTGAAGTTTTGTTGTTATTATAAAAATCATTTATTTTACTTAAATTTAACCTTTTAAATCTGATATTTTTATCCTTTTTTTTCTAATTTTATCTGTTAAAAATACAAACAATTTACATTCTTTGTAATGTAATGCTGTTTATAATTAAGTTTTTATTTTTTGTTATTTAATTTGTATAACATTCATTAAAATAATTATTAAAGTAATTTTGAAATAAATTATAAAAAAATAAGTTTAAAATATTTTTTCAAAAAATGTAAAATACAATTTTATATAACGTAACATTCGATGAAGAATTTTAATTGTATTTAATGGACCTATTAAATAAATAAAATGGAATTAAATTTCGTTGTAACAAATTTCAAATTAATCTTTAAAATATTTCAAATTTATAAAGCAATTTATATGTTTAATTTTAAAACTTTTTAAACATTTTTTTTTTCGAAATTAACGTTAAATAAGTGTAAAAAAATCGTAAAAAAAGCAATAAAATTTTAATAAGTATTAAATATTTTATAGTTTTAACACAATTTGTAGAAATTAATATTTAAAAAATGTATAAAATTGGTTAATAAACGTTAAAAATTCACAATTTTAATTTCTAAAATATATAAAATAGTAATTAATTATGTTCTTTATTTACAGATTTATATGAAATTTAAAATAATTAGGAATATAAAAAAAATAATAATAATTAATAAAAATTAATTGCTATAGATTTAAAAATTGATGGGAAATCCTTACACTTGCTACGTTAATCTTATACAAAATTCTATAAATGAAAGATTTATTCGTTATATAGAGCGAAGAATCAGATTAAAAAAAATTCTTCCATTAGTTTAAAATCAAATAGGAAAACAACTTTAAATTACACATAAGAATTTAATTTGATTGAAAGTCTTGAGGGAATTTTCTACGTTACTCAACTTAAATATTATAAAAAAAAGTTTATACTGAATAATGTAAAAATAGTCC